CTGGGTATGACAACACAGGAGAACAGAACTGGGGCTTGTTCGCCGAAGGCCTTTCGTTCTCCGTGCCGTCAGAACGCAGGCCGTCCCATCCCCTGTCTTCTCCCTTCCCTCCTAAAAGACTTTTTAAGCGAGCACCGCTGGGGTCAGAGAGTATAAGGGTAGACTCGAAACGGCGAGGGTGGCTGAACGACATTTCAACTCTGACCCAGACCACCTTTCAAGGGAGTGAAGGGCGAGAACGAAGCGCAAAGTGTGAAACCGTATCTCGCGCGAGATCTGCTACACTCTTACCACCCCCCTCCCCCTCCCACCCCTCTTCGTTCCTGTCGCCTCTTCATCTTTCTTTTTACGACCGGCCCGACATCTCTTCAAGACCATGTCGGCGTCAACGACCAGCACGACCAGCACGGCCTATGCGCAGGCGCGGAGGCGACAGAGAGGTGGAGGAGACCGGGATGCTATGGGCAACTCAACGTCTGGTGTAGAAGCCAAGGTCGTTGTTATGGGAAGCGCTGGTTCGTCTCCTCATCCAACTCACCCGTATCCCTAGCCTTTGACGATACTTTCGGACACTTTAGGAGTTGGCAAAACGTCGCTGGTACAGCGGTACACCACCAACACTTTTAGCAGCACCAAAATCGCTGCCACCGCAGGCGCCTCATTCCATGTCAAGAAGACGATCGTCAACGGCGTGCCAGTGCGATTGCAGCTATGGGACACAGCTGGTCAAGAACGTTTCCGCAGTCTCGTGAGTGCTCATTCTTTTTGATTCCATTCACGACTGGGTAAACCGGAGCGGCGGCTTTGCTAACTCTGTTGTACCGGCATCTTAAAACAACCGTAGGCTCCAATGTACTACAGGGGCTCCCATGCCGCCGTCCTCGTCTACGACATCACGAACCCCTCGTCCTTCGAGGACATTCGTGTCTGGCTCGAAGGTATGTGTGTGAGAGCTGTTCATCCACTTGGACGAAACACCTTCCCTCTCCCACTGCTGTTCCCCGAATGCCCGAAGACCCCTATTCGGGCAATTTATCTGCGGACCCTCTGTGCTGACTCGATCGCGTTATCTTTCTTTGGGATTCCGATAGAACTCAAAAAGAACATTCCACCAGAATCAGAAAATGATATGATCATATACATTGTCGGAACTAAAGTCGACCTCGCGCCAAAGCAACGAAAGGTCACGCCTGAACGCGTTTATGATGCCTTGGTCGAATGGTTCCCCCCACCCAAACCGCCAACACCCCCGCCCCAGATTCCAAATGCCTTGGTTCCATATCACGGTACGTAATTGCAGCAATCATCACGCGTGTTTCTGGTACGCGATGGCGGGGTTCTGACGAAAACGACTTGTCCACCCAGGTCCAGGCTATCCCTTTGGCCAATCTTCGTCAATTTACTTCCCAACTCAGCTTTCTTCACTTTCAACGTCCGTTTCAACTCATCTACCTACCCTTCCGTCATTCAACCTTGGTCTACCGAGTCTCGACCAGATTCGACCGCGTTTCTCGTCCCTGACTTCGGCGCGACCAGCCGGCAAGCTCGACCGACCGGGCGAGTCGCCAACAGGAACGGATTCAACTGGCGGTGCCACCGCTACAACTACTGCGACAGCATCTTCCGCCGTGACGGCGGGAACATCTTCATCGGGCTTCATGCCTGCACCTATTCCAGCTTCCACAGGCTCTCGACTCGCCATACCTCGTTCCACTACGACGTCAGCTGTTCCGAGCATGTCTAATCTGGGTTTGAACGTTAACATGGTCGGCTCGACTTACAACTCTGGCTTCACGGGGAATGCAAACGGGAATGCCGGCAACTTAGATCCTAGCGCAGGTCCCTCAACAGGCAGTTCGTCCTTCCACGATAAGAAGAATGCCCCAGGTCTTGTGGAATTTCCAAGCAGTTTTAATGGAGAGGCGCCCTCGCTAGCCCGACGAAACACTGCTGGACCCGGACCGTCGACCTCCGTGGGTGGGGCACCGAGCAGCAGTCCTGCAGGTGCAGTGGGAATGAGATCAAGCAGGAGCATGAGCAGTCGAACCCCTCCTGCAGCAAACCTGCAAGCACGATCAAAGTTGACATCCTGCTTGTCCGATGATGAAGACGCGCATCGTGGCAGAGAACGAAGGCCTATTGCGTATCGGAGGTTCAACGAAGTGGAGCAACTAGGATCGAGGCGGTATGGAGGCCACGGCGGAGAATCGAGCTCGGGAGACGAGCAAGATCGGACGAAAGATCAAAGGAGTAGCGCCAGCCGCGCGCAAAAGGAGAGGGAAAAGGAGCGCGAGGAGAGGAGGAAGAAGGAAGAGGCGGACCGAGCTGCTCTCCTCGCCCAAGACGACGATGATTCTGACGATGAAGATCTTCGGCCCTGGGGATTCACTAAAGAGCTCGAGATACGCGAAGTTTCGGCTTTGGACGGTCGAGGTAGGTTGCGATCAAAACGCGCGCCTTTTTGGATCGTAGCTCTGACAAGACATTTGAACCATCTCAGGCATCGAAGAACTATTTGGGTCCCTCCTTGAAGCCATCATCAAGCGCCGGGACTTCATAGAAGGCGAACGCAGGCTTCGAGAACGGAACTCGGTCATGCTAAATGTCCCGACATCCGTGCCAACTTGGGGCACTCTTCCAGAAGAAGATGATGGTGCCGGTGACGACATACTCAAGTCAAAAAGGGGTAGCTGGGGTAGTTGCTGCCGAATATGAGCCAGTAAGAGAATCGGAGGACTTGACGTATCGCATTCTCCTGACCTTGTGTACCAGGTTTTTCTTCCATTCTATTGCGAGTGGCTGCCTGAGGATTACCTTTTTCATTCTTTCCCCCTCCTAAAAGCCTGACCATGAATTCGCGTATGTACAGCGAGACTCCTCCGCCGCGATGCCTCCTAACATCTCTCCTCACTGCACTGTGCAGAAAACGGTCGCTCAGGCCCTTCGAGATACACTTAATTCTTCACCAATCCTCACCTCCCCTCTCCACGACGCTACTCAAACACACCTAACAACGATTTTGCTTCTGATTCTCGTAGGTCCCATCAAACTCCATTTCTTCACTGTCACATTGTACTACTAGGGACTGCATGTTTCCATTACCTTTTGCACATATCCCCTTTCCCCGTATGCTCACGCACTTCCCGATTTCTCTTTTTCATATCCCATCTCGATTGTGCGCGATATCCTTGTAATTTATTGCTTTCTTAGTGTTTGGATATTTACGACGCATGATCGCAGGACAAGTCGGCATTGTACGGTTCCAGAGCTGGTTTCGGTGCACTGCCGGTGGAGGCCAACCACCGTTCCCTGAGGATGGGGAAGCACAACTTGGAAAGGGTATGTTGGTTCGCCTCATTAATTCGACCTTGCCCAACCAATTTACCGAGAGGTATAAGCAACCAGAAGGTCATTTTGTTACTGAACGATGGCGAGCTATACAAGAACAGGTATCGACTACACAACATATCCACAAGGAGATCAAACAACAAGACAGTGAACAGACGACGAGCTAACTCATGAAGGTAAATGGAGTGTGTGCGTCGTTTCCAATGTACGAAAGAGACGGAATCTGTGTATTTACTCCTCATCGCCCTCGTCCTCAGCCTCGTCCTCATCATCCTCCCATGCGTCGAGGCCGTTAGGTCCCCGACCAAGGAAGTAGTCGATGGCGTTGGGGTAGAGGTCGTCGGCAATAACGATGCCCACCTAAGGAAAGATGGACGGATGAGCTGCCGTTCGAGATGACGCGCCCAAGCGAAATTTACCTCGTGGCTGTCACCTTCCTGCTCGAAAAGGTTGAAGAAGCTGCCTGCGTTAGCCTCGGTGTCCATAGCGTCGTCATCGTCGTCATCCTCCTTGGGTGGATACTTCTGAGTGAGGTTTTTGGAATCATCCTTCCAGTTGATCGTGGTGGACTATGCACGTGACGTTAATGAGTATCCTTAGACGCCAGGCACAGTTTGAGCAACGACCCCTACCTGAGGATTAACATGATCCTCCCAGCTGAAGTTGAGTGCTGAGGGGGTAATGCCATCGGCGTCGGGTTGCTCAGAGTTGGCACCAGGGGGGGCGACGTAGCGGTACTCCTTCCGGAGGACGGAGTCCGAGAAGTAGGGGTTCTCGTTGAAGTGCTAATAGTGAAAAAGAATGAAGCAAGTCAGCCAAGGGGTTGAGAAATTTTCTTGAAAAGAAAAATTGGTCCACATACGAGTTCGAGAGTGAAGGCGCGGGATTCCTGGGCGTCGCGGATGACGTTCACGTCGCGAAGATAGCCAAGTGCGTCCTGGTCCTCCTTGTTTTGCAAGTAGGCAAAGAGCTCAGCATGCTGGCCGAACGCCATTGCCCAGAATTTGGGGATCTTGGAGACCACTGTGCGGCGCTTCTCGTAAACCGGAGCGAGCTTCTTCTCAGCGAGCCGGTCTGGGGGAGGCGTTAATGTTAGCAAGGACGATAGAGTAGGAAAACAGAGACGTACCAATAATGATTTCAACACGGTCTTGCTCTACAGTCAAGAAAACAAAAATTTCAGAAACCAGAGATTCAATGACCCTAATGAGGCAGATTTGAGAGCTGCTCACCCTTGATGATCTTGTTGAGACCATCCATGTCGACCTCACTGACGTCAACGCCGTGACCGGCCTCGCCTGCTGTTCGCTTCGACATGATTAAGGTGCGGTGAGTGTGAGGGAAGAATGGAGAGGGAAGAAAGGATGGAGATGACTTGAGGAAAAGTCAACACCTGAAGAAATCTGTTGATCTCGACCGAGTCTCACGGTTAGAGGAAGCCACATTAGCCCCTATTGTTCTGCCCTGCGTCTGAATTGCCGGGTGGCTCCGCATCGCAAGACGGGACAAAATTGACCAGAAGAGGAATATTGAAAACAATTCTTATTGGTGACAACAGCGCCCCAGGCTGATAAAGAGGTGAAACTATCTAGGACGTACTGCGAAAGCCCACAATACGATCCATAGTTTGTGGCCCATCGATGTTGCATCAAGTCTTTGTGGTGTAGTGGTTATCACGTGTCCTTCACACCTTTAGGTTATACGGACAAGGCCCTCGGTTCGACCCCGAGCAAGGACATTTTTTCATGTTTTAACTGCGCCAGTTGTTCGAATTCATATTGTTACTTTTTTGTGTAACACTGGCGTTGGATTGAGCGCTCAAGCGCAGGAGTTCCAAAGCAAACGTGCTGACAAAAGTGTCACCGGTAAATGAAATTCATTCGGCCCATTTAGCTAAAGGACGAACATTTTTGCTGACGAAGCTTCTAGACTCTAAAACTATGGACGAATCATCTACAATCAATATCTCTTTCAATCATCGGGTCATTCCGCGGTGGTAGCTTTGGCGTCCGAAGGCTTCTCTTCTTCGGCATTCTTCGTAGGATTAGGATCAGATTGTACAACCGAGGGTTGCAATGCCACAGTCGGGGGCACTGCGTTATTCGCAGTGACATTTGGCTCGGCGTCGCTCTCGTGCTTGGTGGGCTCCGGTAAAGTGTTCGCTTGCGGGCTTGAAGTGCGTTCGGGGTCCTCCGAAACTTCTGCTTTCGCGTTGGTTCCTGGGGGGTAGTCGCTCTCCTCTTCCTCTGTCGGAAAGTCAGGGAGGTCTTCTGCGCCTTCCTTTTCTCCCAGATTAGATTCCAGGAGCTCGGTAACAGGTGCCTGGTGCGACTCCTCAAGCGAATGCAAGGACTCGTCGAGCCGTTTACTGGATTCAGCGTCCTCGTGTTTGCCCGGCGGTTGAAGGACGTTGTCGCCGTCCGATTCATCTGGTACCCCATTCCACGGATCTTCCGGCCACTCGTCATCCGTATTATTGAAAGTAAAGTCGTCGTCGTGTCCCGTTGCTGAAGTGAAGCTGGAAGAACCAAAACGCGCGAAGCAAAGCCAGAGCAATGACGAAACCCCATGTTTAGTGACGGAATACATACAGCCGCGCGACCACAGATGGGCGCTTCACGTACTTCTTGACTAGCCGCTTCCTCCGACCACCTGCTACAGCCTCTTCTGCGTCTGGGGGACAGTCGCGGTCACGACTCCGCTTCCGAGCGTCAGATGGTCCGGGCTGAGCCTCCGCGGTCACGGGTTGCTCCTCCGCCTCTTCCTCCCCTTCATTAGCTCCCTCCGTTTGGCCCGGCTCGCCGCTGTCCATTTGCCAAGCGAATTTCCCTTTCGCTTCTCTGATTGCTATAACCCTCTTGTAGTCCTCCCGATCAAAATTCAGCTGGCGGGATCTGACTCTCTCGACGAGAGCGTTGAGCCAACCGCGTTCATACTCGTCACGGATGCAGTTGATCCAGTATCGCTCCATGCTGTCCATCAAGGTCCGGGTACGAAGATGGCCGTGCTCCGTTTGTTCGTTAAGGACATGAAGCATTAGCCCAGCGGATAAGTGCTCTAGGCCGAGCTCGGAGAGACACTTGAAAATGCGAGTAATTCGAAGGTTGTTATGCGGCGCGTCTGGAGGTCAAACCATGTAGTTACATTCCTCGGCCTCGTTTTTAGAAATGATGGCTTACACATAAGATTCTTGTAAGAAGGCTTGTATTCCGAGGACCTTCGGAGAAGACCAGTCTTCTCGTCCACTAAGCGCATGCCATAAAAACCGAGCATCATCTTGTATGAGCGCAATACACGCTGCATAACCTCTTGGTTTGATTTCATTGCGCTGATTTCATGGAGTTGTAACGGTTGTGCGTCAAAATTCATCCCTGGAGGTAGGTGTGATTAAACAAACGGCTGAGGATAGAGAAAGGGGGTGATCTGTACCGTGCTCCCGTATCGGAAACCTTTTGTTGTATGAGCGCTATGAGTCATTTCTTTAGGAAAAGATGAAACCATGTCTTACAGCCACTGAATGTAACCGTGATTATACTCTAACGTGTCGTAATCTGTCGCCCACCTGGATTTTGGGGAATAAACGGTCAGCTTACGGTTAGGCAAATTGGTTACGCGACCGTACTCCTGGTGGATCTCATCGATTAGCATGTCGTCGGGTTCGCATCGCTCTTCACCCATGTAGAATCGCAGATTCCTGTCCCATGACTTATCCTCTTCTTCTTCTGATGGCAAATCAGGATACCCGGCCAAGAACGTATCAATGTCTCTTGCTGGAGGACGTCTAGAAAACATTTGAGGGGTGACGACTGACTAGATGTAGTTGTAGAAGGAATGAGAGGGGAGGGAGGGTTGTGGTGCAAGGCAGGTTTGCGCGCTGGCTTGCGACACAGCTTTGCTGGTTTGCACCGCTGACGTAATACGGGTCTGTTCCTTAATGTTGAACCCCTCTCATTGAAACGGCCTTCAAAACCAGACATTCTCTTTGATATCAGCCCTCTCGTTTCTGCATGTTACTATTTAATTACTTTCTGAGCCGCCGGGCTTAGAAGGAATTTCACCACCCTGGTTTCATGTCACCGATTGCGAACTCCCAACGAAGGTCCACCCACTTCTCGACCTGACCCAAACTCGCCCTCTGTTCAACTCCATGACTTCCAAACACGGATGATTCTTTCCCATAATATCCACCATCTCGGTCTCGAATTTATCTAACCCGACTTCGTCGCTGTCCAAGAAACCCCGATGTCGCTCAATGGACATGAAGCGGACCTTTCGGAGCAGTCGAAGAGGTTTGAGATCCCCGACAGGTAGGGGTTTTTGACGCTGACCAAGAATATTCAGTAATCCGTTTATATATAAAAAAGGAGGAATCTCACCGTATACTCGGGGTCGGTAACGTGCCACTCAAATTCCTCAAGCCAAGGGAACAGAGACGCGATCTGTTGGAGGATTTCTGGTACGAGGTAGACTTCGTAAATGTGAAGGACTCGAAGTGGAATCGATGTCGCTGTGATGGAAATGAGCGAGCTCCGCGTTATTTCGATCATATTTCCCGGTGATGGTAGGAGAATGATCTTGAAGACCGATCTTTCGCCAACGAAGGATGCCGCAGTAGTGATGTTCCCAGAGAAGTCACACAAGTTGGGGAGCATATTGGCGGGAATTGGCTCCATCTCCTTTCGAGCTGTCTCAATCGGGGAAGGCCCGGAAGGGTCTAGGCGGATAGTTCGGAGGTTTGGAATGTCCCTTAAAAATCCGACCAGCTGCTCCCATTCCGTTACGTTTGCCGGCTCGTTGGTACGGAACGACTTAAGCTTGCCGAATGTGTGAGGTGACTTTGGATTAGCCCCAATGTTCAAAGCGCGGAACCTATCTGTGGAGTACTCGAGGTTCTCCAACGAAGGACCACAGGCGAGATACCCCAGAGCATCGGAGCCACCAGGGAACCCATTCTTCATATCAATTTTGAGTGATCGGAGTCCAAATGAGTCGAGATTCATCTCTGGAGTGACGACAACCAGACCGAAACCGAGAACGGGATCTCGAAGTTCGACGAACTCGATCTGTGGGAGCCTGAAGAGTTCTTCGAAGAGGTAGAAGGGGATGACAGTGGAGGCGAAGAAAATCCCTCGAATGTTAGTAAAATTTCCAATCCAGAGAGAGAGTGCTGTCCCCCTAAGTATGGTACTGTGTAAAGCCTTCCAATCCTCAATGACCAGGTACTTGACTAGTGGGTTCTTCTCTGGACGACTATCCAGATAGCGAAGCAGTTGGTGATTGCGCTCCCAGGCCTCCATATTAGGAGTTTTCTTGCACTTCAGCTCAACGCTTTCTAGAAGTAAAGGCTCGGCAAGGGATCGCATCGTACGGCAGGTGAGAGAAATGTTGCAGAGTGTGGCCTTATGAACCGGGCAGACTTGACCAAAATGATATCTGCTGTCGTCATGGACTCGACAGAAGTCGACAATCATCATCCACACCTCAAGGGGAAGAGCGGGTAGAGTAAAACTGCTGGCTCGAGCGAAGTTTGGGGTTTCCGGGGCTTGCGTGTTTGAGCGTCGCATGCAATCGCCTTCCATGTTGTGTGCTTTAAGAGACGTCTAAACACAGGAAAGTATCGTATCAGATGACATTCTGGAAAAGCTCTCTGAAGTTTGACTCACGGCTATGACACCTATCCACGATTGGCTAGGAAAAGACAGCTAGTACAAGTGGAAGCTCCGCGTGTGCGTGACCGGATGACGTTAACGTTTAAACAGGGGCGGGAACGGTCTTAGCGGACTTCACTTGGTCCTTCTTTCTCTCACCCGGCAGAGGCTTTTCGGACCCATCTTTCATCGAAGACTGCCTGTTTTGGGTGATCGGGCTTCTCGAAGGTAAACAATTCCAACGCAGCTTTTGGTGGGATCCGCAAGGTACAGCCTTCTGCGGTCTTTCTGTCGTCATCATCCGTCTGTTTTGCGATGCTTGTGGGGTTCGCCGGTCGCCGAGCCATTTGTTGGATTCGGAGAATACCCAAACATGGAGACGGGTTTCTCCTATGAGGTGTACGGTTATGCCTTTACCTTGGATTGGAGGGAAATTACCATATTTGGGAAATCGCGGTCCTCCCGCCATCCGAGGCATCTCCTTGCCGATTGTTTATGCGTACGTACCTTCTAGATCGTCTCCTAACCCACAGCAGCTATAAACACCGGTACCGGAGGGTCCTCGCGCTTCATCTCTACCTCTCTCGCCCGCCCCATCAACGACATACCGCCATGCCCCCAAAACAGAAGGTTGATCAACGTACTGGCAGCAATTCGAACAATCATAACATCCCCGGAAACAAGGAGAATGGCGCACAGGGCTTGAAGGGTGCAGAGGGCATTGGGATTCCTGGTCTGTCGGAGCTGGTTGCCCTGGTCGAAACAATTGCGGCTACGCCTCCAGGCAAGGAACCGGAAATCGACCGCAACGCCGTCGAAGTTCTCGAGAACACTCCTCTCAATGTGGTTTATACAGCACTCAAGCCGGTGTTTCTCAAACTGGGTATCGCTGAAGCGGCAGTCGAAGCGAGGTCGCCTTGGTCGAAGACCTCGGGGAGCGCGCATGAGGCTGTTCTTCAACTTAAGGTGATCGAGGAGAAGGTGGATCTCCTTTCAAGAAACGCGGATGAGGGCTTTAAGGTCAGTGCCTCTGTCTATGGATGCGAAGATGGTAGATGAAACGATGTTTGTTAGAACACCCTGCACGAAG